TTTCATGCAAACGGTCCTGGACCGTGTGCATGAAAACAACATCCACTTTCCCCAGCTACTCAGGGAATTCAAGCACTCAGGGAATTTTAGCATTCTAGTTGCGGTGTAGAGGGAATGCGGAAGCCGTTTCTACTTCCACCTGTTCAAACACGGTCGTGGGCCATGCTCAGAAAATTTTAGCGCTCAAGCTGCTCTGGTTGCGGAGTTACGAAGTTATCAGCATCAAGTTCCACGTGTCCGTACGTGAGATGTAGGAAGTCATAAAAGCTCATATTACATTTATGGACCCATAATTGAACAGCAAAAATTCTGGTGCAGTTACGACCTTCAACTCTCGAAATGGCGTGGTGCTGATCTGAATTCTGGCATGTTCGTATCTGAAACGTATGCGTGTGTGAAGGTTGAATTCAAATTTTTTGGATCGCATGTGGGCAGGAAACATCCTTGTAAAGTTCCCATGTTTTAGCTCTTTTGGTTTTGGAAAATGTTTTCTCGCTGAAAAATCTTTCATGTTTCCGCATGTGAGAACTATAAGAACGTGAATGTCCACTTTATGCCTAAGGACTCGTACAAAGCGTTAGACTCCATCGCCAAAGTTTCAATTTCATGGTTTCGTGGGTCGGGTTGCCGAAACTCGTTACGCGTATATAAGCATACACACGAACGCACATACATAAACACACAGCAGGTAACTTCCTCCTCACAATATGCGTTTTTTGCACTGCATAGATGCAAAAAATGCATAAAAACAAGGAAGGACCAAAATGCAAAGATGCAGCTGAAGAAAAGTTTTTGCCTGAAGAAATGATACCTGTTGGACGACTTTGCCACCTTTGGGATCGGAATGACACGACTTACCATAACCTGTTTACTGTCACTGAAATAGAAAGGGTGTCTCGTGATAACATAATGCAGATACCGAAAAATTCATGAATTTATGGTTGGTCCTGTTCATAATTTCGAACACTTCTGTTACAGCTGCGCAGCGTCCCGTCCAAAAACTTCTCTTATATACATAAAGGAATCCAAGGCGGTTTCCTGGGGAGAGGGAGCATTTTCTACCTCACCTTTTTCCTTCGTCACTACAACTCCCCCACCCCTCCGGACAGTTCCCAACCCACTCTTCACTGGCCGCACACCCCCCTCCCCCCGGTCGTCCCACTACCCCTCCTCCTCTTGAAGGCCCCTGAGGGTGGGAGAGGGTGACAAGAGGTTCCAAGGAGACTTTCCTACAGTAAAATACCTGCTACCTAAAGCCCCTAGGAAGAGGGGAAGGCGAAAGACCCCTGCACAAAATATTGTAAAAGACACAAAAAATCGGGAGAGACCCCCACCCTCACCCTCATACTGATAAACAGATTAATTTGTTTGTGAGACGTCTCCGACAGGTGCCTCATA